CAGCAGACCTTTCAAAGTCTTCCAACAGTGTGCAAGGTAGGTTACGGAAAAGAAGTAATAGTTACACTAGAGGAGGAAAGTGGAGAAAATACAAACCCAAAAGCAAGATCACTATTCTGTTTCAAAGAAGCAGCTTTCTGAGTGTTGCATTATAAAATATATCAGTAAACCTTAAGTCTCACATATGAGGCCTAGGAATAGCTTTGCAAACTCCCACAAATCCTCTACTTATCAGAAGATAACAGGCAAGAAGCTGATGCTCAACTGGCAACAAAACTATTAACTAATAAATATCTCAGTAGGCTGTGCTTAGCTTCTGTAGGATTCAGAAAACAACAGGTCTGCTCCATTGCTTCCTCCATGTTCGAGTAAGGAACAGGGCTTGAGGATTTCTTCCTTTCTTTTTTTAACTGGCACTCTAAATATAACTTTGAACAACACTTTTGGTATTCAAGAGCTTGTGGGGCAAAAGCAAAACATTAAATAATTCATTTTTGGGATAACTTACATGACCCTGCTTATTTGGAGACAAGTGAACCACAGGATCCTGTCTCATCAGTCTTCCACTGGGGCTTTCTCTGAAGGACGGCAGCACTTTTGATACTGCTGGGAGATGGCATGTTGGTTCTGCAATACAGCACACAACGATGTACTGAAGAGCATATGCAGTGCAACAAGCTAAGAAAATTTGTAACCTAATTTTACAGTGCAATTTTTCCAATACTACCATCAGCCAAAACACTTTGGATACCTAATACGAAATTCATTCCAAATAAAAAAATTCATATTGTGACAAAAGACAGGTGAAGGCCCAATTCCTGCCTGGCGTAAATCAGTAAGACTTAATGAAAAACCAGCAGCCACCATCCTGGCTTTTGTTAGAACAACCTGAATGGATCCATGCCGCCGCTGCCCAACAGCACTGTATCAGAGCATTAAACCAGCAGAATATTCATTTTCACAGTGTATTGACATTGCATCTCTATACGCACGTTGCCTGTGGACAAGAAATTAAAAAACCCTGAAGATCCACATTTCCTTAAATTGTAGTCTACGCAAGGCAGGACAATAGCAAAAGTCTGCAGTGATCACTTAAATGAACACATTTTCTCCAGTATGACTACTACTTGTATTTCTTGTCAAAGTTAAGGTGAGTTAGATAAACACTTTCTAACCGAAAAGATAACAAAAATCTGTTGAAATCACAATACTCCCTTAAAAATTGATGGCTGTGAATGTGGAAACTGCACAGATGTACAAAAGGAATACTTATTAAACTAAACCTGACAAAAGCGGATGGAATTCATATAATTCATCTTACATGGACATTCATAGGAGTGCTCTTTGCCAGTTAAACTTATTTTTTTCCCCAGGAGAGAACTATGGAGGTCTAGAGGGTGTTCAGACACAGCCCATCAGATAATTGCCTTCTCAGAGCCCAAGGTCAGTATTTTAAAAGAACCTCTCTGAGTTGTCACTTTTTACTTGTATCGTCTCTCCTGTGGTTATGCAATATTCTGCACTTGTAAAAATGCTTATTTTAAGTAGAGTATGTGCTTATGAACATCAAGTACTTAACAATATGCATGGAAATTAGCAGTGCTTTCCCCCAAAATAAAAACCAAAAATTTAAACTTGATTCCCCCCTGGTAAGTGGTAGCAAGCAGTGTTGGTGCACAAAGAACAAAGGTCTTCTGTAGCTAAGAATGGGCCAGGAAGAAGTGAATATGTGGATTCACTGCACCTAGTGCCTTATTTACCTTGAGACACATTATCCCAAGTGGAAATGTGCTTATTTGGCATAGAACCGAACTTTCACCTAGATTCACCAGACTGGCAATAAAGTCTCCAGTCAGAGATGCAGCTTCCAACTGTGACTCCATGAATGCAGGACAATACACAAGAGATAAAATACAGGGATTATATGTCAGTATGCGTTTCTCGGCTTTTGCCAAATGCCAGAGCCACCTCTTCTACCACACAGTTTTTCCCGTTCTTTTTGGCCTTATTTATTTATTTTGCTAATATGGTGACACCTGACACTGTACAACAAGAACTTGCTGGCAGCTCCACTCTGTGCCAGCATCAACACCCAACTGTTGGTCTGCAAAAGTAAGGCTGAGCAAAAGATCAGTTTTACATGCGTCGTTACCATCACAACAGTATCAAAACATATGCGATTAAAATTCATTCTGTCAAAATGAGAACTGCAGATCAGTATAATCACAGCTTTTCAGTGAGAAGTATGGGGGGAGTTGTGAGGGAGGGACTGACAGATGGCTTCAATAACAAGGCACAGCTCACTGAGGTTGTGAAGGTATGTGAACAAAGTACATCTCCAGAACTTGAGGCTGGCATTTCCCTTAACAAATTCTTGCTTTCTTATTCTGTGTTAAAACACTAGTCTATTTATATAGAACAAAAGCTGTGATGCAGTAAAATGATGATCTATATGTGCAATAGAAAAAGTATGGAATTGTTTAATCCAGGGTAACAAGAGTTAGAAAAAACCAATCTAGCAATCTTGACCACGGTCATCATGTTGGATCAATGCTGTTTCTAGACAGGAAGTTTCCATTGGTGTCAATCTCATTGGTATCCACCCAAGTCAGGCCATAGCTGTAGCAAAAGGTCGATGTGCAGGAACTTCAAATGAAGGCTTAACAATGCAAATTCTCAGTACCCAGCTGTTTTATGTACTTCATATGTTCTCTCGGCTGACAGCTTAATTGCCAAGTGCAGTGCAAATGTATACACTGGTGGAAGGCGATTACCAAGCTATAGATTTACTTCACTATTTAAACTTTAATTGCATTTTTTACATTTTGTACATGGTATTTTTATAGCTTCAATGATCAAACAATCAATTTGCATTTATACAGCACCGTTTGAAAGGGAGCATCACAAACACTTTAGATAAACTAAGCAAAAATTTAAGTAAGCCAAGCCACTCAGGAGAGTAGGTGAGGTCAAACAAGTCCTCAACAGCAAGACAAATTAGTAAGTACGTCTACCCAACCACTTCTAAAACACAGAGTGTTTCAGGGTAGGAGCATTAAGGTAGATTTAGTCCCAGAATCAAATGAAGAACTGAAATCGGTTCTTTCTCAGGTCATAGGCATAGATCTCAAGTAAACAGACTGCAGAAGCTAGAACATGCTCCAGACCCAATTATTCATCCTGATGAACAAGGTTAACTTTCAAAGACACTGAAAACACCGTGCTTAAGAGAGTTCTCTCTCTGCATGGAGAGGTATTGCCAAAGTGACCTTGTGGCTAGCACCACTTGCTCATTGTAAAGAATTAATTACCTACCCATCTGGTCAGCGATACTATCCTCACTTCTTTGCCAGCTGGGTGTGGATTTGCCGCTACCACCCGTATCGGATTGCGTGTTCTGCCTGTCAATGGAAGCAGGGGATCTACGGCTAATTCCAAACCTGTTGCAACACCCCAAAAAACAAAGCAGATAGTGATTTTAAATACACGTAAATCTCACATAAGGGGAAAAGAGCACTTTTAAGAAGCCGGCATCAAAAAACAGGGCAGACATAGCACAACTGCTTGAGGGATTTATAATGCTTTTCCATTTAATTTTTGTGGCAGCTCTCAGGACCCAATTAGCAACTTTAATGCGTAAGATTACAGTACACATTAATTTATTGAGCACCTTTGATCAAGAACATCTGGTTACAGTGCATAGAAATCAAAAAAACAGACGAAAACATCCAGAAATAAAATTATTAGTTTTCATTTACATAGATGTTTACATGGAAAGGTGACCAGACCATTACATGGTTACAGAAAATTGACCACAATCAGTAAAACATAAAAGTTTGGATAAAAGCCACACAGGGAAATGAAGTGTGTTTATTGGGAAAAGATATCAAGGATGGACCCTTTTAACTGGGAAAGCACTATCTTGAACTAGTCAACATGAGCATCAGAAGGTTTGTTGGGCCAATACTATGGATCTCAACCACTTTCCTGGGTTCTAAGCAAAAAAATAGTAAGGTCATACCTAGGTGATGCAGACATACATACAAATAACATAGATTCATTTGGGACAATATTACACTGCAAAATATTTTAAATAAGTGTTTATAAAATTGACTGTATTAGTTATGGATTCCCAAAACCTGGGGGTTATAAATTCTGTAAATTAAATTATTTGATCATAAAATCATTTGAGTGGACTAGTGAACTATATACAGCTGTAGGAAAGCAGTGAGACAAGTATACCTATTGCTGTAGAAGAAAGCACACAGAGCAAAAGGAAAACTGTGTTCAATGGACTTGGTAAATCCTGCTAGATTAGTCAGATGGATTTCAGAAAGTTCAGTAAAGATATAGTAAACTCAAGGAGAACAATCTAATGACAAAGGAGACATGTGGTGCCTCTGTGCCATACCCAAGTCTACATGCCTTATCTGCCTAAAAGCCCGTGAGAATTAAATCTGTAATTCTGTATTACAAAAAAATCACTTAAGTCTGTAAGAATTATAATTGGGTTAAGAATTAGCAGATCAAGAATTTGTCAAGAATAACGCATTTCTGAGGTGGTTTTTTTTTTAATCGGACATACCTTGAAGGAAAAAGAAATTCCCCAAACTCTACATGCACAGAGTAACACCAAAAAGAATTACAAGCTCATATATTCTCTATATATCAAGGAGTTTCTCTAGCTCTAAGTGTCTAACATAATAACAGAAAATACCCAAACTGTGCTTTCTACTCACTCTACTAGCTACAGATTGCCCCACACGACCTCCCATGTAAAAGAGACATCTGGCCAACTGTCAGAACAAGCTCAATGTGGTTATCCCACTCGAAAGAAAGTTCATGCACTTGTTAACTCAAATGAACCCACCAAAGAAACACCCTGTGACTCAGAACAACAAAATCCCACTCCCGTCCTTAAAGGCAATCAGCTGGAACACACCTATATATGCAGCACAGCTCCAAAATGTCACATTTTGAAATTTGGGCCTTCTAAATTTTACCCAAACATGACCCTAATTCCCTTTTGTTCACTGCTTCCTGGTACAGCCAACATACAGCTTGATGAACAAAAATGTGAAGAAAACCTAGATATATCTGCCTTCTGAATACAAACAATTTAAACTGAAATTGCACGAAGTGAGTAATACTCTTCTGTTTCTATTCACACAAACTAGCTAGGATTTCACTTAATCAAATAGCTAAATTAAACATGATGAAGTCAATACTGATTCAACAGATGCATAAAAAGTGTAAACACAACATTTCAAAAGCTGATTGATTCTTTAAACACTGATCTGAGGTAATTTTCAAACTTTAGGACTCGTAAAGTATTTTAGGAAGAATATCTTTTCATGATAAAATAACTAGAAGTTGGTATCTAAAGGAAATAGCCCAAACCTCAAGAAACCTTGGTGTGATGAAGTCATGCTGCACCAATATTTCACTTTCTACACGTTGTTCTCTTACCTAAATCCCATAATGTTCATATGTATAAAACCAGTCAGTTTTGCATTTGGCATAGTTTATGATGTGGAATCTTTTTTTCAAGAATAGAGATATACAAACCCACCCTATTTCTAATTCGATTTCACTAAAATCGCCGTTCTGCTAATTGAGCATTTTTTTTTTTTAAACACAAAGTGGGCTATTTAAAAGCTGGAATAATAAATGCAAGTGGTGCTATATTCTGTGTTGCTTAAATATATAGCCCAGCAGGGTATGTAGGAATGAAACCAAAAATCTCGCAGGAGAAATCAATCTGGATTAGAAGAACAGTGAAATTGCTTAAGTATACATTTTATACGTATGTCATAAGAAGAAACTCAGTATTTTTGTATTTTTGAATTTCATTTTTACTTTCTACAATCCATTATTACATACGTGTACCTTCAGGTAAACACAGGATAAGTATATGAAACACACATATATACATCAAGACCAATCTGGAAATTCGTGAAGTTTTTGCCTATACCCAGCTCAGCATATGGACCAATAATCTAGAAGAGGCAGCAGTTACTGCTCTTACCGATGTCTGACAGAGGTTGGACTCATACCCATGCTTCCAGTCATTTAAGTTGCACAAGCTTTCCAAATCTGTCACATCATGCAACAAGAAAGAAATGTATACACGAATTATGCAGTTGAGATTTCTGCACTGGGAAATCTCGGGGACTGGCACACCTAGAACACACTGGAGCCTCACCTCGGGAAGGTTACCTTCAGGACATGGTGCCCCCTCGGCCCCTACTCCAGCCCATCCTTCTCTCCAACATCTTAGCAATTGAATGCTACAATATGTCTCCTCTATTTTACCAACATATAGGGGTTAATCGCTGATCAGCTCTGTCTGGTACATCGAACATCACTACAGAGCTGCCCTGAATCTGGTGTCTCTGACAAATCTCAGCAGAAGATGCACATGGAACTGCAATGATTTTTAGTAAGGTGACAGACGTTACTTTGCTTATTGAGGCAAGGGAAAGTTTCCTTCATAATTACATTTTTCATGCTTTCCATTTAGCCTGGTAGGAAATGTTTGGAAAGTCCTGAGTATGTACGATTCGTGTGCACAAAGACAGTAAGGGAGGCAAAGTGCTTCTCCTATAAGAACAGAACATAATAGTCAAATAATTGGAATGTAATAAGTGATTTTTCCTTTTTTATAAAAAGCATCCAATAAAGAACATGCAAAGTTCATGTATTAATTACTTCTTTCATCATTCCATTTAAACAATGTTTCCTTGCACCAAATTAAAGCTTCAAAACCAAAAA